GCCTCTGGTCCATGATGGCTGTTTTCGCGTGTGCATTTGCTGCCGGGTGTCATGGAGCTGGCTGTTGCTGTACAGCTGGTGTGTTTGTGCTGAGCATCTCACCATGGTCATGATGTGTGGCACTCGATGATGCGTTGTAGATCCGAATCGCCAGCTATTCGAACAACGACACACGTCGTACCGGTGAGGCCCATGCCTGTTGCCCCCGTTCCCCTGCTTTGCCCCGCTCCTTCGCATTCTTCTCTGGTTTGCCCGCTCCCACCCTCTGGCCGCGGCTGGAAATGGCTGATGCCGCGATGATCGATAGACTGCGTATCTAGTTGCGACCGCTTGTCGTCGCCCCTGTGCTGAAGGCCGACCCTCTTCGAATTGTCGCTTGAAGGCGCATCTTGAACAAGCACCAGAGGCCCATCGGGCCTGGACAAGAACCATGGCCACCGAATTTAAGGTACTTGCACCAACCATGTAGCAATGTTGTGGTACATGGCCGTGCTTCTCCGCCCGTATTCTGATTGCCACTTGAGCTTGTCAAGACTTCCATCTTCTTGGAGGCGTCTGCCACGACCGCCTCAATCAGGCCTCTTTTGCCTTGGATCGATCATTGCCCTGCCTCTTTGCTCCCATACTCCACTCACTTGTGCTTCGCCGGCCATGCATTCCCTTGCACACCCAGATCGTCCTCTTGGGAGAGGGCTGCGTCGGCAAGACGTCAATCGTCCGCCGCTACTGCGAGAACGTCTTCGTGGATGGACATCAGACCACGCTGCAAGCATCATGTCTTTCCAAGATGATGAATATCCAAGCTAAACGTGTGCGACTCAACATTTGGGTACGGACCTCAGCCCTTTAGCTTTGCATACGCCTCGCCAGGCCGACCTTCTCCGCGGGTCGGGTCCGCCCCTTTGTCGGTTTGTTGCCACGTCTGCGTCCCAGGCTCACTCAGCCAAACCGAACGCGACTTTGGCAGGACACGGCGGGCCAGGAACGATTCCATGCCCTTGGTCCCATCTACTACCGCAACAGTCAAGGTGCCGTCTTGGTCTACGACATTACCGACCAAGACTCCTTCAAAAAGGTCAAGAACTGGGTGAAGGAACTCAAAAAGATGCTCGATAACATCTCCATTGTCATTGTCGGTGCGTCACGTTGCCGCCTTCCGCCAGCTGCACGCGACAATCTGGCACATCCCGGCCCATTGAAACCAGCCAGCCCCGTTCTCAACGTGCGTGCTTGTAACCTCCTTTTTTCGCAGGCAACAAACTTGATCTCGAAA